AGAGGCTCGGGGCACGGCCTCCCTGGTCGGATCCCAGGGTGTGCCCCGCGGCCTCATCATGAATGCCTTCATTGGCATCCTGGAGCCTCAGCAACCCCAATTTGAACTGCCCACGCCCATCCCCCCACTACTCGGACTCCATTCTCTGCGCTCTCACTACCAGGAGGACCCCGACCGCGTCCTTATCTTGCCCTTCCTCTCCTCTACTGTGTGTATACCTGGGGCAGGGCGGCCCCTTACCAGCCTTCACCCAGGCCTGCCCTACCTTCTCCTCCCAGAGCTGGCTCGCTCCACTCCGAACTTTATCCCACTTCCCTTCATTCTGACTCCCTCCCCAGGGATGGTGGTCCCTCTCTCATGCTGCACCACAGCAAGCCTGAATCATCTTCCAAAGCCCTTGTGGCCAGAGCCCTCCCCTATAGTGCAGAAAGGGATAGGGGGACAAAAGCTCTTGGCCACAGTCGCTCTTTGCCCAGCGTTCCACCCATAAGTCCTCTAGCCTGCTCACTAACCTCTGCCCACCCTCTGCCCCTAGATCAAGTCCCAGCAGAGCGAGGTGACCCGCATCCTGGATGGGAAGCGCATCCAATACCAACTAGTGGACATCTCCCAGGACAACGCCCTACGGGAAGAGATGCGAGCCTTGGCAGGCAACCCCAAGGCCACCCCACCTCAGATTGTCAACGGGGACCAGTACTGTGGGGTATGGTCCTGTGTGTTGTGGGAGGGGGGAGTGTTATAGGAGGACTCAGGCCAGAGTCAGACCTGAGACAAAGCACCAGCACTCAGGGGACCACTTCTCATATCCCCTCCTCCCACAGGACTATGAGCTCTTCGTGGAGGCTGTGGAACAGAACACGCTGCAGGAGTTCCTGAAACTGGCCTGAGCCAAGCCCAAACCAGCCCACTGGACTTCACCATCACATTCCCCCAGCCATCGCTGGCCATGAAGGACCTTGTGACCAACTCCCTGTTATTCCTAACCTGACCTTGGAGCCCCTCCCCCAAACCCAGCCTCTCCCCCTCCTCCCTCTAACTGTAGCCCCCTCTCCTCCGTTCAGGGGCAACATTCCTTCTTACCCAGTACTCTCAGAAATTATCTTAAGCAACAGCCCAAGTGCTGGCTGTTCTCAGCCGGGCCCTGAGGCTTCTACCCTGCCTGGCACTGGCTGATGGGCACCTTTGTTTCCATTAGCCAGGGCTTTGCCAAAGGCCCCGCAGTCCTCAACTCAGGAGGAGCACCATAAAGACAATTAAATGTCCCATTCCACTGGCGCTGTGTCTGTTTGGTGTGGCCTGGAAATCCTGGGTCCCTGGTCTGAGCAAGGCTGGTAGATGTTCGTGTGCTAAAGCTGTGCTCCTGTGGGCAGGTGGGTTGTGCTGTTCCCTGTGTGGCACCTGTGTGTGATAGTGCATGTGTTTGGATATATGTCTGGCATACACATACCTGTGTGGACCGATGGCTTCTGGAAACTGGGGGTGGGTCCCCCTCCAGTTCACATGCGATGGTGCACATTGACATGTCTGTGCCTTGGTGTGTACTGCACATTTGCATTCCTGTCAGTAATGTTGCTGTGCCATGTGGCTGGCTGCCTGCCTGTGTTCCAGCAGATTGGTTAAGTGGGTGTGTCACGGGAGTGGGTACACAGCCACATTTCTGCCAGTTTGTGGGCCGTGGCTTTGTGCATAGTGTTGAGGAAGTATCTCCACGTGCTTGTGATTCTGTGCATATCTGTGCTCAGGGATCTGCTGGCTGCAAACCTGCACCTGAGGCTCTGCTGCCCCAGCTATACCTGTGCTGGGGCCCGGCCTTCACTGGATGGGCTTAGCCCTTCTGCGGAGAAAGGACCTAGAGGACAAAGACCCAGCGGCCAGGCCTGCCAGCTGGAGCTCAAGTTACAATGAGGGCCTTCGGCACCTCCCCCTCCCCTGGCCCAGCTGGGCTGGAGAATCTTTCTTGGCGCCCAGCTGGGCTGCCCCTCCATGAGAGCCTGGTGGAGCAGCCGGTGTGGGTGGGCGGGAGCTTTATTCGCATTGTGGGCCGGGTCAGGGGGCTGGCGGCGGAGCCCTGCGGGCCCGCAGGAGCAGTGCCGCGTTGGGCACCAGACCCGCAGCCTGCAGCGTGAGTGCGTCGTCGTAGACCGTGGGCGGGAATGTACTGAAGATCTCGAAGGTGTTTGCATCTACGGCCCTGGAGACCCGGCATAATGAATCAGGCTGCGTCATGGGACCAGAGCCCCATGCGGCCTCCAGCCCCGCCCCGCGGCCTCCAGCCCCGCGCCCACCTGGCCTGTGCGAGCAGGGCGCGCACATCACCGACAGTGTCCTCTGGTCGCATCATCAACAGGAAGGCCTGCTCGCCATTCTCAGACTTGATGCGTAGCATGGAGAGCGGGGGCGATGGTGATTCAGGTGACTCCTGACTCCTGCGGGCCCAGAGGCTGTCAGTGACCCCATGGCCCATCCCCCCAGGTCCTCACCTCTCCACTCTGCCCTCACCTCTCACGCTCAGCAGCTAAAGCAGGCGTCTCCACCACAATCTCCTGGATCCGGGCAGGCCACGGGCAGCAGTTCTGGAAGGCATCGATGGAAAGTGGACAGAGCCCTGGGCCCTGCTGGAGTCATACCCCACCCCGAACCCTTAGAGGAAACATCCCTGACCAGAAAAGGATGAGACCAATGAGCCTAAGGCAGGGTGTTCTGTGTAAAGGAATGCCCAAGGAGAGGAAATGGAAGGGAAGCTTTGGGAGGCAGTTCCATCCTCCACGGTCTTGAGGTGTGGAAACGTAGTGGAGAAGTCAGAACCCCACACTGATTATGACCAGGCTGGATGCCTAGCTGGAAGGCTTCCCTGGAGAAATGACACCTGAGCTGTGACTGAAGGAATAGGAGTCCTTCGAAATGGGATGGAGCGCAGGGATATTCTAGGCACCATGGGCAAAGGTCTCCAGGTCAGGGAAGGCTTCAGAAAGGAGGTGATACATTTGGAAAAGTGTCAGCAGTTCGTAGGGCTAAAGCTGGGGATCAGGTTGGAGTGGAAGAAAGAAAAGGTTAGAGGTGGAAAGAGCACAGGCCTTGAGTGCTGGGGTAAGAGCTTAGCCTTACCCAAGAACCACCACAGGGTTTCAACAAGGAAGAGCCAAGATCCAATTTGCATTTTTAAAAGTGCAGAGGCTGCTGGGGGAGGATAGTCGGCAGGGCAGGAGTGGATTGGGGAGGCCAGTGAGACAACTTCAGTTGTCTGAAAGAGACACTCTGGAGCTTTAGACTAGGATGGTAGGTAGTGGGAATGGAGAGAAGGAATGGATTCAGGAGAAGTTCTGGAGATCAACAGATCAACTAGGACTTGGCAATATGAGGAGGAGGTAGAGAGTCCTGGGAAACTCAGGTTTGGAACCTTTCACAGATGGAAGTGTGGGAGGATTAGCAGGATGGGGCGTGAGGATGATGAATTCTGTGAGGGCCAGGAAGGGGTCTCCAGGACTAAACTGGATATTTTGGTCTGAACTTCGAGGGGGTGGCCTGGGCCTTGGGCTCAACCCTGGCCTAGACTCTGACCTTCCTCCTCTTATAGCCAACCCCCTGAACCCAGCTCCACAGATCCTAGGAGACAGTGGGACAGCTCTGAAGGACCCATCTCTCCATCCAGGCCCTCCTCAGGGGCCCCCAAGACTGAGCCTCCACACAAGCCACTGCCCTGGTAGGCTGGGCCAAGGTTGATGGTAAAGCCCCCAAGGAGGCTGGAGGAGCTAGGGCTGGCCTCACCTGCAGGGTGTCCCGGATGGGGCCCCGGATGTCAATCACCTCGCCTTTACGGATCACAAACTTGGGGAGACGGTTCAGGAACTTCTCGGGGGTCATCCTGGAACCTGCAGGGAGGGCATTGGAGCCTTGGCCCAGAGAGGGTCTGTGAGTGATAGTGAAGGAGGACATCTGGAGCTTGTCCTATACAGCACCCCCAACCACCTGGCTCAGCCTCAGGGCCGAGCTCACCTGGGTACTCCACTGCGACTGAGAGCTTGCGAATCCTCTGCCGGCCGACCACGCGGCCCTCACCTGGGAAGGGGTCCAACCCAGTCTCTGGGTAGACCTGATTGCGCAGGTCACTCACCTGGCAAGAAGGGAGACAGTGGCAGGCCCAGCTCTTCAGCCCTGGGCCCCACCCCACCCCGTTTGCCCAGGCCCCGGGGACTAGGCCCGAGGAATGGTCTGATGCAATCCCCACTCTACAGATGAGGAAACGGAGGCCCTGGGACAGAGCAGGAGAGCTGCAGCTCATACTGCTGTCGCACACCTGGGCCCTGCTCTTCCTGCAAGCACCCCTCTCCGTGCCAGCTAGAGCCACTTTACTGACATCCTCGGAAAGCCCCTCAGGAGCCCACAGGGAGGGGAAGGATGAGGGTGTTAGGAAAAGGTTAAGCCTTTGCTGTCATCTAGTCTGCAGTGCAGACCCCATCATTGCACATCACCTCCCTTGTCCCCATCGAGGCATACTTCCTGGGCCCATCTTGGCATGTATTGCCTCAAAAACCCCCAATCACGACACGCTATTTCCCAAGCCATGGTGGCACACACCCCCTCATGTGCCCTCATTGTGGAACTCACACACTACCCTCTGGGACACTATCATGCTCTCATCCCGGCACCCTTCATCTCACGCCCAGCAGTGGACCGGCTTCATCTCATGTCCTTTAGTCCCAACACTTGCCCCTCGTGGCATTACCTTCCACCCCAACCAGATGGCTCCAGGAGCCTCTGGGGGAAGCTGGGTCACTTTTGCATAGACTCCTCAGGGACCCCAGGCTGTCAAGGTGTCCTGAATGCTGGAGGGGCGGTGGTACAAGTGGCTGAAGGCTATGCCTTCATGGTGCCAGCAGGGGGTACTGTCTGTTGCTTAGCCACAGGCTGCTGCTGCTGCTGATGATGATGTGGCAACTGTGGCCCTGGCAGCCTCCCCACTCCCTTCGCAGCCCTGTGTCAGGCTCACCCTCCTCCTGGAGGTCATCAGACTGGGGTACCCTGAGGTGGGACAGTGGCTTTGCACCTCAGACTGGGTGCTACCTAAGGAAGATGTTTGTCCCCAGCCCTCCAAAATCCCCACAGAGAGTGGCTGGTTTGAGGCGCAGCAGCCCATCACCTTAAAAGGGACCCCATCAGGGTACAGGCGCTGGAGCTCTAAGGGGAAGAAGCCATCCAGTATATCTCGGAGGCAGCGCTGCAGAGGGAGAAGAGAAAGGGTGAGGACCAGTTAGATCTGTGTGGTGGCCCCCACCCTGCTTCCTGTCTGGATGGCAGGCCCTGGGCTGTGGGCTTACCTAGTAGATTACACTCTGGCCCAGGACTTGGTGGGAGTGGGGGGGGGCGGGGGGAAGCCCTGCAAGTTCAACGTGGACCTGGGTGCCCATGGGGGGCAGGATGGGCCCTAAGTGAGCTGGACACCACCATCTCCAGTGGTGAACAGAGTGGGGAGCACTAGAGAGGCCGGAGTGTGTACGGGCCTGTCTCCCCTCACCCCCGACTCCTACCTGTGTGGAGGGATCGTGGAAGGGCCGGAAGGGCCCATCAAACATCATGATGCCATTCCGGTAGAGCTTCAGTGGGATGGGCTCAAGGGCACAGAGCCGCGCTCCACTGGGCATTGGCGTCACCTGGGTGTCACTGTCTACCAGCTCACTGAGATCCTTCAGGCTGGCCAGCAGCCTGTCAAAGTCCACCTCAGGGGGCACCAATGAATCCCCTAGCAAAGAGGATAGACATCCATGGACCTCTCTTCATGGCTGCCATGTGCCCTGGTTTCCATGCCCCCTAGCATGATGGGTGATGGGCTTAGCATCTCCTTAAATGACCACCCAGGGAGGAGGAAGGACAACTAACAATAGATAATAATAGCTATATTTTATTGAGCGTGTACTTTGTGCTAGAGGTTTAATATCTATTGCCCTATTCTCTTTCCATCCCAACCCCACGCTGTAGAGGCTACAATCAGCCCCATTTCTCAGATGAGGAAACTGAGGGCTACAGAAGGCTAATGGCTTGCCTAGGAATGCACAAAGTGGCAGGAGCGGAATATAATCCCAGGTCTGTCTGTGTCAGGCACAGGGTTAGCAGCTGAGGTCCAAGACGACGACCATGTAAGAGCCAGCAGAGAACAAGCACTCTGTCCATGTTCATTATTGTTACCAACTCTACCTTGTACCTCACATGGACCTCAGGACAACTCAGAGGCTCTGAGGCAGAGGTTACTTATCTCCATTTTACACATGAGGAAACAGGCCCAGAGATGAAAAATACCTTGCCCCAGGCCCCCTGGCAAATTGGAGGAGGGGTTCACTTTAGAGTCTGTTTCTCCCGCCCATCTGCGACATCAGGAGAGAGAGGTTGGGATAAGGACAGATGGCTGTTAAGGAGGATGTCTGGACAGCTGCTGGACAGAACAGATGTGAGGCAGATCTCGGGTTGTGCAACTATTTCTGAGTCACAGACCCCTTTGAGAAGCTGACAGAAGTTCCGGCCTCCTCTTCTGAAAAATGTGTTGCATATACAGCTGTGCATAAGCTTCAGGGGGTACAGATGGGGTAGTGGGACAGCCACGACAGATACCAGAGCAGAAAGGGTAGAGGGCAGGTAGGATGCTGGCAGGAGATAGGCGAGGGTCCTATTCTTGGTCCTTGAAGGGACCTTGGCTCCCAAGTAAGTCATCTACTAGGCTGTAACCCCACCAAACACTAGTGACCTTCTGGGCCTTCTTGGAGGCTGTTTTTCATCAGGATAGCCAGGCTGCAACAGGATGTGGGGCAGGGCTCTCGAGACCCAATTCCTTTCCCCACGGAGGTACAGTGGCTGTCTGGGGAAGTACAAATATAGTGGCTATTTCCTGTTGCCCTTGCACTGCTGAAACGGTAGACCCCAACTGGCCTCCCCCTCTCCCCTACATTTCCTACTGTTGTAGGGGCTGCACCTGCACCCTACCTCTTCATGGGGTCCCCTGGAGTCCCTGAGATTCCCAGGAAAAACTCACAGAGCACAGCATCCCCGGTATGAGTCAGAACAATGTTAAGACACTATTTGCCTTTAACAACTCCTTTCAGAACACATTAGTAAACCTAAAAATAACAGAAAAGCTCATCTCCTTCAACGCCTGCCCTGGTCCTTAGATTCTTACAGATGGAGAAAGTGAGGTCTAGAAAGGTCAGATGATTTGGCCCAAGCAAACCACACCCAGCGAGCCAGGAGGACCACTGGGTAGGCTGACTGGAATTCAGCTGAGTCCTGGGACCACGGCTTTTTCAGGGAGTTGACGGGCATGGGGTGGTTACCAGGGGAGGGGCAAGAAGCCCATAGGTGGATGCCAGGAAGAAATGAGAGGGAAAAGAGAAGTTTGCAGAGAAAAAATCAGCCTGAAGATTGTCAGCCAGTGGACTAGGACACCGAGAAGTGAAAGCAGTGTGGCTGGGCAGGAATTGGATGCAGCAGAGCGGAGGTGTGGCAAGGGGCCCAGGAGAAAGAACTGTGACTCTGGGCAAAGCAGGGCTGAGAGAAAAAGGCAGGAAGAGCCTGGCATGCGCCTCCACACAGCAGGAAGAGCTCAACAGAAGCCTGGCCCTGTGCAGCGGGGTCACATGGGGTAAGGCAGCTCAGAAGCCATTTCCTCTCTGAGCCGCAGCTTTCCTTTCCATGGAATGGGTCGATAAAAGAAACCTCCGTCCTGCCCACCAAACCCAGCTCTGAACAGACTGTAATGATGACTCAGTGAATGTTTCCTTCGTGCCAAGCACCAGAGACACGTACTGCCATTCCCATTTTACAGATGAAGAAACTGGGCCTTGTGAAGCAACATGTTCTGGGTCACGAAGCTTGCAGGGTCCAGGTGACCTTAAGCCACTGTTCTCAGTGACCACGCAGGCTGCCTCTCAGTGCTGGTTCTTCAGCACTGGGGTCCCTTTCCAAGGAGGGGTGCAGTGCACCGAGATCATCTCTGAAGCCTCATTCAACTTCAAGAGCCCATGATTTTATTAAAAAGGGGAGTAGGTAAGCATGGAGATCAAGTCCAAGCTCCTTGGCCCAACTCCCAACACCCTTAGAGCCTGGTCTCCCCAGCCTCTCCTCAACACGGTCCCCGCCTCATGCTCTAGAGTCACACTGATGTGTGACCCTGGGCAAGTGGGCCAACCTCTCTGGGCCTCGGCTTCCTCTTCTATAAAATAAGAACAATAACAGTCCCCACTTCGCAGGGTTGCTGTGAGGCTCAGGGAAATGCCTGGCAGATGGTGGCTATCGTCACTAACTCCTATCCTCTTGCTCATTGCGGGGCTCAGGGTAGTTCACCTCCTCTGAGAGGCCTTGCTAGGAGCCGCCCCCCACCCGACCTGAGGCTGGGCCCCTATTCTTCCTGGGTTCCTGGAGACCTTGAGTCATTCCCTTAGCCCTCGTCACAGGCTGTTGTCATTTTCTGTTTGCTTGTTTGGCTTTCCAAATACATCAAGTATTCCTTGAGCCCAGGCTAGAGCATCCAGCCCTGGGCCTGGTCCAGAGCAGGTGCTCGAGAAGCATGTATTGTCTCCATCCCTCCATCCTGCCATCCAGCAAATATGTCTGGAGCGCCCATGCTCTGCTAGGCCCAGAGAACCATGGCTATGCCCATGCTCAGAGTCCTGCCCATGTGAGGCTCATAACTGAGTGAAGGAGACAAGGTAAAAAACAATGACAATGGCATGTGTTAAGCACCACTGTGGGGGCTGGGAGCCCAGAGGGCAGACCCTGTCGCTATCAGCAGGTGAACACCTTCACTGGACTGTCTGCTGCTGTGAAATACAGTGCCCGAGGCGCCCTGGCATGCCCCGTCTCCACCACTCTGGCAAAGAACCTTGAACAGAAAATGGACCCATTTCCACACACCTGCAAGTCACACCTGCTCTGGGGACTTTACCTGCATTTGCTCTGCTCTGCTAGGGCCACAACCAACTCTCTGACCCCTACAGTTGAGAATTGCCGCCTGCTCCCACCTCATCCTGTGCAGGGGATTGTCCCTGCATCTCCCAACATACTCTGATCATTGAGGCCTGGGCACCTGGCTACCACCCGCCAATCACGTGCATGTGCACATGCCCTGGCCTGTGCTGGGCACTCTGGGGCATCGCAGGGCTAAGCAACAGTGGCTCACGGTCGTTGTTCATCCACCACATAGCAGCCTGTGAGAACGCTCCATTCGCTCCATTCGGTGCTCTCAATGGCCTAGGGGTCAGTCATTCCACATTCCATCTCCTCATTCCACAGATGAGGATTCTAATGCAGGGCCCCTCCCCACATGCCCCGGGGCAGCTACAGCGTTAAAGTACCTTTGCTGGGGCAGGTTAAAAGGAGGGGAGGAAAAGGGGCAAGGCACTTAAGGGACACAGCACAGGCCTGAGGGGGAAGTGAGGATGGGGAGGAGCCTAGTCTGCCTGGAGTCTGAGCCAGGCCATTTCTAGGGGCTCAAGGGGACCCAGGGTCAAGTGAAGCCTCTGCGGCCCATAACGTCTGTGTGGCTTCCTGAGCAGGGGAGGGACGAGGCAGGGGGTGACTGGCAGGGAGAAGGGGAGAGATGTAGGAGCACTGGACCTTGATGAGGGGTGGGGGAAATGAGAAGCTCAGTGAGGATGGAGGGTTTGGGGGAGGGAGCAGCTCAGAGGGGGACAAGGAAGCGTTCTCAGCCCTGAAGCTCAACACATGGTGGGATCAGAGCAGAACTAACTGTTCCTCTCATGTGTCCACATATCCTGAAGTGCCTGGCACCAAACCCTATTTGATACTCAATATACTGGTAGGGAGGGTAGGGAGAGGTGAATGATCCAGCCTGAGGCCAAGTCCTTGGAAGCCTGTCCCCTTACTGGGCCCTCTTTGTGGACCCAAGAGACCTTCTTCCCCAAGGCAAGAGGCCCAGGCTCTAGAACAAAATCAGTCCCAGTTCAGGCCAATACAGTGCCCTGGCAGGCTACAGGGCCTGTGAGGCATGGTGTCCTAGATTGAGAACCAGAGCATCAGGGCCGGCAAGAGGCCAACTTCGTGGATCCCAGGGGCCCTTGGGGCAGGAGCAGGCTGGCATCTGGGGACAAGGCAGTGAGGGAGAGAAGGGAAAAGCCAGGAGAGAGGGGATTCCCAGAAGGAAAAGCTGCTGAAATGAAAAATATGTTGTTCATCTGGCGGAAGAGCTAAACGGAGGCCCCTCCAGGTTGAAGAATCAAAAAGCAAAAGAAGAGGACGCACAGAGGGAGCGTGCATATGGCCAGGTAGCTTTCACGAGCTGCTTTAGCTGTGAAGCAGTCAGCTCCAGAGCCACCCTTACTCTGAGCACAAATAAACAACACAGAGCAGAGTGGGGGCTACTCTCTTTTGGGGTGGAGCGGGGCAGAGGGTAGGAATCTACAGAGCCAGGGATGGAGACCAGCTTTCTGGTCTGACCCCTCCCCAAAGGCACAGAGAGGCCCTCAGCAGCCAGAAGGCAAGCTGCCCTCCAACAAGTCAGCAGGGTCCTGTGAGGCCTGAACCCAGCTCCCCTCAGCAGGGGCCCTGGGCAAAGTGCTGGCGGGGCTTCTGCCCCAGACTTCAGGAACACACATTCTTATAGCACCTGGCTGTCGCCTGCCAGGGCCTGGCCTCTCACCTGGGTGGGGGCTCCCTGGAGAACTCTTCCCACAGCACTCGGCCCAGGGCTGTTAGTGCATTGAGTGGTTGGAATGGCCAGGTCCACCTCGTCCTGGGCAGCAGGGCCATGCCGCCCCCCGCCCCCCACCTCTGCTCGCATGGCCCGGGAGCCACACCGCATCCCATCTTTGTCCCAAATGGACTCAGCATCTTCCCTCACGGCCATGTTCCCCACATGTACAGTCAGTCAATCACCTAGGCCATGGATTCTACCGCCTAAGTCTCTGCTCTGCGCCTTCTCGCCATCTCGGTCCATACCGCCCTTACACTGGACATCATCTCACCTCTGCCTGCATGACTGTAACTACCTGCCAAATGTGGGAGTCTCGCCCCTCTTCATCCAACAGTCTTCAGACGTCTTAAGTGCTTCAGTTTTCCCATGTGTAAAATGGAATAACCCCTGGCCCACGTCGAGGCCATGTCTGAAAATACTTTGAAAGCTACAAGTGTTGTGCAAATGGAAAGGGGTGTTTTCAGAACAAGCAGTGAGGGAGTTGTGCCCTATGATTTACGGGGGATCTGGCCAAAGCTCAGGCCCGAAGAGCAGGTAGGACTCTCATGTTTTGAGTCTGAGTTTTTATCCAGCAGGAAACTTAGGTCGAGAGGTTATCTTCTAAACAGTCTCTTTGGGAAGCCATGCTCATGTTCCCATGAGGCTGCCACTGCCTCCAACTGACCGGCCCACTAGTTGGGCCGATGACGTGCAAGGTCAGTACTAGGTACTCTTGTCTAACCCACTGAATCCATGGAGAAGAGCATACTCCCATTGATGAGAAACTGGAGGCTCAGAGGATGGAAGTCATGTGCCAAAGTCACACCTAGAATCGCGGTGGAGTGGAGATGAGGACCCAGGTTTGACCAGCTCCAGAGCCTGGAGAAGTACCTGCTGGGCAACAACCTCCACTCTTTAAAGAGAATGGACTCGGCTTTCAGAAATGGTCAGTTCTATGGTCCCAAATCTATGGGGCACATCCCTCTGGATATTAAAAGTCAAGTTAAAAATACAAAGTGGTGAGTCCCATAGAAGCAGGTAGATTTCAATGGTCTGACTATAAATGAACCTGGAAAGGGAGCCCAAGGGGAGGCCAAGTCCTGGAATTAAAGGGCAGCTTCCAAAGCAGCGGGATTGCTTTTAAAGGCAACGGCTTTTGGATGGATGACATTTTGTAAACTATGGTGCCTGAGACAAGTGAGGTCTTGTTACATCTTATATCTCTGAGTCTCTGGATCTTTGAAAGATGAACAAGCAGAGATTCTGAGGCGAGACCAGAGGAAGAAAGTGGCGGCAGGTTAGGTGGTCAGTGATGGAGTCTAAGGCCTTTCCTCCTTGCCCTATGTCAGTGGCAAGGTGTGGGATGTCTCAGGACATCTCATGCTTGGAGGCTGGGGCATGAATGAGATGGGCTCTGGACAGCTGCTGGCCAAAAGAAAGCTACTGGAGAATTCCCTTTGTAGGAGTTAGGGGTGAACCCTCTACTCTACCTGGCTTCCAGAACTTCTTGACCGTCATCCAGTCCCTCTTGCTACCTTCTGAGTCTGTATGGTCCTCTGAGTCTTCCTGGTCCATGGGCTCGCCCACCCACTGCAGGCCGTAGTCACTGAGGAACCGCTGGAGGGAGAGAAGGGATAGATGCAAGGGGTACTGTCAGCTCAGCCCCTTGCCAGGGAAGAGGCGGCATCTGCTCGGTCCCCAGCCTCAGGCCTCAGCTCCCAGATGAGATGGGCCTGGGGGTCTTGGCTACTTTCTGGCTGTGAACTTGGGAAGCTACTTCACCTCCTAGAGCCTCGGGCTTCTTATAAAATGAAGATGACAGCACTTGCCCCATAAATTTGTGAGGAGGACTAAGTAAAATAATTCATGTCAAGTACTTAGCACAGTGCCTGGCACAAGTAAGAACTCACTGAAGGCAGCCAATATGGTGGTGGGGAACCGTAGGGGTCTGGCCTGAGGAGGAGGGGGAGGGGCAGAGACGCCCCACTCTGCAGGACTGAGAGGATGTGGCTACCTGCACGCAGCCTCCCTAGGCTGGGTTTCACATCTCTGCCACAGGAAAACTTCTGAGCTGTCTACATTTTCTGTTGCTGGTTCAACCCCCTTTCTCCCCTTTCCACTCCAGCCTGGCCTCCATCTCCACAACTCACTGAATCTGCTAATGTGCAGCCACCAGCCACCCGCCCTGTGCCAAACCCGGTGGGCACACTTCTGTCTTCATCTCTTGCAACACATGGTTCCTTTTCAGTTTCACATTTCCAACCGTCTCCACGTAGATGTGTAACAGGCATCTCAAATGGTCTCTACTCTTTGCCCCTATCTCCAACCTCTTCCTCTCCAGGTCTTCCGCTTTTAGTCAATGGCACCCCCTCCACCTAGGCCTTGCCCATGACCCATTCCTGTTTCCCCACGACCTTTAAGGCCTATGGGCACCACCTCCAGGCTCAAATCCGTCCACTCCACTCCACACTCCTCTGCTGCTACCCTTGTTCAAGCCACGGTCCTCTTTCTCATGGACAATTTAAAGTGAGCTTCTACTTGCCTTTCCCCATCCACTCCTCTAACTGAAAGCTTCTTGTAGTTTCCCATTCTTGAAGACCTGAATCTGACCCCACACCGTCGGCGAGCCCCCCATAATGTGACCCCTGTGGCCTCATCTGGTTCTCCCTCTTGTTCCTACAACCGCCTACCATAAGCCAAGTTTCAGTGGTGGGAGGTGCTTTTCATTTCTTCAGCCTGGATCCTCTTTCTCAGCCTCCCTTGCATCCTCCAGATCTCTTGCCCAATGTTACCCCGCAGAATGGCCCAAACCCCAGCTAGTCTCTATTGTGTCACCCACTGAAATATTTCATCTATTCTCTGTACTTGTGTATCTTTCTGTGTACTTGTTTACGCCTCTGTCCAGTCCAGACTGTCAGCCTCATGGCCGAGGCTGCCTCATGACAGGGACACAGGAGATACTTTGTATGAGTCTGTTAAACTAATGAAGCAATAAATGTGGGAATGCTCTGAATGTGGGGACCCCAATGCCCTCTGCCCTGAGGTTCTGGGGCATAGCCCTCACCCCCTGTGGCAGCTACTCAGAGAAGACCCATGGGCTGCCAGCATTCCCGCCAAGCTGCTCAGGAAGCAGCTATGTTTCCCCACAGTCCCAGGTTCGAACAGGCAGTGGAGGGCAGGGGTGGGGTGGGGTGGGAGCTCAGCTGCAGCTGTGGCTTGCAAGTTTGCTGCTGTGGTCTTAAATTAGGCTGGGACTTTGAAAACCAACTGTGTGTGGAGAGGGAGAGGTTAGACCCCAGGAAGGGCTTCTGGTAAGGCCAGTGAGGGAGCAGTGGGTTCTGAGGAAGCACACCTGCCCAGCCCTCCCTTAAACGAAGGATCCCTCCAGTTTGAGCCTTGCTATATGAATGGGAACAAGGAAGGTGACAGTGAGTGACTGAGATGCCACGTTCAGAGGTTGGGGATGGCTGTGACCAATTTGGTAAACATATGGCCAAGCACCAAGCACTGAACAGGGGGAAAGCGGTCCCTCCCCTCCCCCACCACCCCGGGGAGCCTGGGGTGTTCTAAGGAAGCAGCCTGCCCTGAGGAGGGGCCCCCACCTTGATTTGAGACTGAGATGAGTGAAAACTCGCCAGGGAAAGGTAGGAAAAACATTTCAGGCAGAGGGATCGGTATGGGCCAAGGTCTGGAGGTGAGAAAGAGCACAGTGTGGCCCAAGAATCAGAGGCAGGGCCAGTGGCTAGAGGGGAGAGTGGCTCAAGGTGAGACTGAAGAGGAAGCCCAGGCAGATAGGAGGGGTGCGTGCCGCCCCGGACACCTTCCTGGCTCTTTAAACTCTGGGTTACTCCTGAGTGGGGGAACACAGAGCAGGGCCTCAGTGTGGGTTGTGTGGTGAGGGGGCCCAGGAGGGGTAGGCTCTGACCCAGTTCCTGAGGTGGCAGCTGCCTCTCTTACCTCCATCTCCCCAACCTGCCGCTGCAGCTGTGCACACATCGTCTCCAGCTCTTTTTGCTCCTGCGGGGACATCTGGTCTTTGGTAGAGATGGAGAGAGGTTCTGCTGCCCCCGCACGGAGGCTGCCAGGCCACCTCCGGCCTTGCTCAGAGCTCTTCCCTGAGGGTCATCTGGAGAAGCTGCCCCTTGAGAACTTGAAGGATACCCAAAACTGCCTCTTGGCCTCTCCCCCTACCTGAGAGGGGATGCCCTGGCTGACTATGAGGAGACCACCACCCTCGTGGAGCGAAGCTTCACCCTCTGAGGGGGCTGCATTTCCTCCAGGCTTTTGATGGAGCACCCTGTGCTGGGCTATGTCTGTACTCAGGAGACTCATTCCCACGTAGGAGGGCGGAATCCTGGGTGTGTCACTGCCCCTATCTGAGCTCAGCTGTCGAGACCCGACCATAGGACTCAGCTCCATGCACTTGAAGCCCTGATGCTCAGGGGTCACCAGCCCAGGGGAGGTGCAACAGGAGGGCCAACCAGCCACTGAGAGAGCCTCTTACCCTCTTGTTCCTGGAGGGTCTCCACCAACTCCTC